TAGGGGGTGGACTATAAATAGAGAAAAAAGGGAAATTTAGATCACCCGATCAAAATCGGACGGTCAGGAAAAATAGGCTAGGGAGTCCAAATAAGAAAACGGTGATATTTTGTAGATGTTTGGGGATGATCCGGACACAACGGTGGCGACTGCCCGGGTCGGGTCCGGGTAAGTTTCGGACGCGCATGAGAGGTCTATGCGCGGCGCAAAGAGGGGTAGGCTGGGCCTAGGAGGACTGTGGAGAGCGGTTTGGTCTAAGAGGAGAGGGGAGAGATGCAGCCCGGCACGGTTTCCGGAGATCGAAAACGCCTGACGATAGGCCGGCTATACTGCCGCTATAGTTATCCGTTGGGGCGTCAAACGGACTCTGAATGCGATGAAACTTGGCAGGCGGCCTACCTACAACATAAAAACACCGCATGCCAACTTTCATCCCATTCCGAGCACATTTTCCGGCCACTTATAAAATAATATTTCGGACGTGTCGCAGGCGCGTGCAAGAGTGGCTGGGCTCAGAACAGACAACAGAAGGAACTGTGGGAACCCGGACAGATGCAGGTTTTGAAAACATGATGATGCAATGCACATAATGACATGATGAAATGCAACACGCAAGCAAATGACATGGCAACGACAACAAAAAAACTGGACGACACCTGGCACATCGGTCTCGGGGCGTCACACATGGGTAGCTAATCCGCTCTTCCTCCTTTTGTTCTTCGCTCTCCTCATCATATTTTTCATCCAATGAGCTCACCGTTTCATCTATTTTTCTTCCATAGTTTCCTGCAAAATATTAGTCTCTTCTTGGACAACGAAGACTTTCTCTAGAAATACATCAATATCGTAATTGTATTTATAATTCTCATAGCAATATTTAAGTATAGCAAAAATTTTAGGTTTATAAACAACATCATCATAATCTTCATACTTTTCAAACAGAGATTCAATTTCATAGGCACCCTTAAAAGCAACAAATTATTCTACTCGTTCCACATCATAGTAATAATATATACCGTTAGCATAAGAAGCCAATGTTTCATTATCGTTAAATTTGCATGAAAAGGGAAGGTGTGGAGCCTTCATCCTAGAGCAGGAAGTATAATCATATCTCAAGCATAGATCCTGAGCATACCAATGCAACATATGAATTTGATCCCATAACTGTTTCCCTTTTTGAGTCAAGCGATAATCCCTAAAGTATTCACGTTGATCCAATGTGTCTCCCATTATCAAGTTGAATGGGGTTTTCTCAGGATATCAAAGGAGTGTTTATATTTTTCACATAACGAGCATCGAGGGTTTTAGGAGGTTCCCCATCTCCATGAGTAGCAAGCACAACTAATTTTTTGGTATTTCGTGTTCCATATCCATAACTAAAGATAGAGAACAACTTAGAATAGAAAATAAAAACTACTTAGTGATAAAGCATACAACCACACACGAGAATATTCACCCCATGCTATTGCTCCCCGGCAACGGCGCCAGAAAAAGGTCTTGATAACCCACAAGTATAGGGGATCGTTTGTAGTCTTTTTTGATAAATAAGAGTGTTGAACCCAACACGGAGCTAATTAAAGGCAGAACAAATATTCCCTCAAGTTCTATCGACCACCGATACAACTCTACACACACTTAACGTTTGCTTTATCTAGAACAAGTATGAAGCTAGAAGTACTTTGCGGGAATAAAACTACGAATAAATTGCAAGATAATAAAAGTAGATAACTTTTGTCACACAAGAAAGTCATTTGTCCCCAAGTGATCGATAACTAAACTGGTAAGCATTGTTGCAAATTTATATGAGGGAGAGGCATGAGCTAACATACTTTCCGTACTTGGATCATACACACTTATGATGGAACTCTAGCAAGCATCCGCAACTACCAAAGATCATTAAGGTAAAACCCAACCATACCATTAAGTATCAAGTCCTCTTTATCCCATACGCAACAACCCCCTTACTCAGGTTTGTGCTTCTGTCACTCACGCCACCCACCATAAGCGAATCATGAACGTATTGCAACACCCTACAGCGGGGATCCCTCATATTTGCGTGACATGAAGGGAACCTTAGGACATCACCAAAATAAAATATACAACTCAAACCAATCATGATCATCAATCAACCCATATGACAAAACAGATCTACTCAAACATCATAGGATAACCACATATCATTGGGAAATCATATATAGTGTTGATCACCATGTTTAAGTAGAGAATTGCAGCGGGAATAGAGAGGTTACACCGCTGCATAGAGGGGGAGAAAGTTGGTGTTGACGGTAGCAAGGTTGTTGATGTAGATCGCCATCACGATCCTTTCCCCGAAGGCACTCCGGCGCCACCAGGAGAGAGGGGGAGAGAGCCCCCTCCTTATTTTTCTTCCTTGGCCTCCCCCTTAGACGGGAGGAGGGTTTCCCCTCTGGTCCATGGCCGCCATGGCGTCGGAGGGGCGAGATCCCCTCCGAGATTGGATCTATCTCTCTGTTCTCTTCTATTTTGCGTTCCTGTTTTCTGGCCCTTCACCGTTTCTTAAATTCTTGGGAATCCATAACTCTGATCGGGCTGAAATTTTTACATGGTTTTTTCCATAAATTATCTTTCTTGCGCCCGAAGAAAAGCCCCAACCGCGCGCCAGGGGGGGGGGCACAAGGCACCACCGCACGCTAGGGGGGAGGCCGCACCCTTGTGTGTTATGGAGGTCGCGGGCCTCCGTTTGCGTTGATTCCACCTCCCAAAAATCACATATATTCCAAAATAATTCTCCGTCCATTTTTATCGCGTTTGGACTTCATTTGATATGGATATTCTGTGAAACAAAAAACATGCAATAAATAGGAACTGACACTGGGCACTAGATCAATATGTTAGTCCAATAGATCATATAAATTGTTGCCAAAAGTATGTGAAAGTTGTATAATGTTGGTATGAAACAATTAAAAATTATAGATACGACGGAGACGTATCACTCTCCCACATTCTGCATTTAATGCACATCGCGGGGGCATGGTAAAAGAGAAGATTACATCAGTTATTCTCTGCCATGCATGCTTGTGCATTGTTTGGGCCTAGCCCAATGACGCCTCGCATGCGTTTACGACCCAGGCCTGGGGGCTCCTGTCGGTGTACTAAAATAGGGGCCGTTTAGTACCCAGACTTATGCACAAGCAGTTGCAACCCTTTGGACGGCAAGGGCTTACCGGAGGATAGCCCAACCCAAGTATCAACACTTGGGCACCAAGACCGTAAAGAAGACCTCCAGGCAGGTGATCGAGAAGTACTAAGTTAGTACTGAAGATCAAAACTCCAGTTGCCGGCAAGCTTTGCACTGTCAATCCAAGACCCGACAAGCTCCTTGCCGGAAGTTCTCCCTCTCGCCCTTCGGCCCCTCCACCTTATCGACCAGCTGATGGCAGGCGGCCTGAGGGGAGTCAACAGGATGCGTGTCAGCACGTCGAATGCAGATCAACTTTATTGACACCCGTCTAGTGGATGTGTCAAGAAGATAGGCTCATCCACGTCGACAGCGTAGAAGGAGATATAGTTTTTGCCAAAAGGATGGCCACCAGCTCACGATGCACTGAATGCCCTTGTCCTAGTCCGGCGTGATTAGGTTGGATAGCATCGAGGCCACTATTCACATACATGTAATGACCATGTTCCCACTCTGATGACCCCTTCTCGGCTATAAAAGGAGGCCCATGGCTACCCTGGCACGGGTCGACACCTTGCTCACGCTTACACAGTAGCTGCACCTTGCTCACGTTTTTCTGGCAAGCTGTGCTTGTAACTTGAGCCCTAAGTCAAACCACCGAAACACAAGAATAGGGTTTTACGCCTCCACGGCGGCCCGAACCTGAGAAAACCTCGCGCGTATACTGTTGGATTTGCTCTCTGTGCTCGTTGACTACCCCAGCCGAAGTGCAAAGGGATCCTCGCCGGTCCCATAGATCGTCGTACTCCGGCAGCCCTGCGCGGGAAATGATCCTCAGATCCACGACTCTCCTCGGATACGTTAGGGATCTTTCGGAAGAAAGTAAGCATGGAAATGTTAAGGGGTTCCTCGGATGCCCGATGCATGAAACTCATCCATAGCAGATGAAGATTTATTGAACCAGCTGGGATATTGAAGACGAGGTACAACTCAGAAGTATCGAGGAACATCCTCGACTGAAAGACTAGTTCAGGGCTACTGATGCTGTCCTAGACTAGGGGGTACTGACCACGTTGGCTCCCGACCATATGGACTGGGCCGAGGACCCCTAGGATGATCAAACCGGTGGGCCACGTTCTTAGGGCCCAAGAGCGCCAAGGTGGATATCTTCCAAAGATTTGGCCTGTACTTTAAGACAGTCCAAGCAAACAGGACGTAGGGTATTATTTTGTCGAGAGAGCCTGAATTTGGGTAATCATGCAGCCCAAGCAAACAGACACTGATCGTTCGATGCCAGGCTGCAGTCTTTATAGGATAAAAAGAAGATTTTTTTCTCAAAGTTCTGAGCGCCGAGACAGGGCTCTCTCACTCACAGTCGCAGTCACACTCTCCCGAACCTAACAAACTGTGTCGTAAAAACACCCGGAAGGCCGGAATAACCACCCCTCCACCGTCGGCGGGCGGAACGCACCACGCTGACAGGCCGGCCATGCGCGGCGCGGGACCCGCGCCCCAGGCACACGCGTCCGTGCGAGGCGCGTCATGTTTTTTCTTCCATCTACTAAACGGTAGGAGGGGAGCGTAGTAGCAGGAGGAGGATACCGCAGCGCAGAGACCCAAACCCGATCCCCAAACTGGGCATTTCGCTCACGAGCTCTCCGCCTCTCTCCCACACCAATTTCGAAACAGCGAGAGCCAAAAAGGCAACGCGAAACCCTTGTCCCCTCTCAGATTAGGCCCTAGGCTCGACCCAGAGGGAGGAGGAGGAGCAGGAGCAGCTTCGGCCTCGAGGCGCTCGCCGGCGCGCCAATTCGCTGCGGGTCAAGGGCGAGGTGGCCGGGGGATGGCTGCCGTCGCGGGCCAGCTCAGGGAGCTCGGGGACAAGCTCGGCTCCGAGCCGCCGGCCGAGGCCGAGGCGCTCGCCAAGCTCCTCGAGGTGACAACTCCCGACTCCCGAGTCTCATACAGTCGTACTCTTTGGTTGCCAGCTTCGCTTCCGTCGCGGATGGGGTGGATCTGTGGTCCTAGCGCCAATTCGGCAGGTTTTAGGGTTTAGGGCGGGAAGGCGTGAGCTTGTGAGGCGGATGTCCTCCGGCTGCGCCTGCGAATTAGGGGTCCCGTTGCTGGATTCCGATGGTTTATGTTGCACCGAGCGCCGAGGAGGGTCCAAAAGGAGTAATTTTTCAGCTAGGGCTGGGTAATGAGGAGGGAAATTCTTACCTTTTTGGTGAGATTTCCTAGGGACGCTGTGCCACCGCTTTAGTTTGTGATATGCATGGCGCATTTTTGCTTGTTTCAGCCGGAATTTATTTTCATTTCAGCTGGGAGGGGGTGTAACTGAACGTCTGTGAATTAGGGTTTGCCGGGTTTCGGTGGTCCAAACAGGTTTCTCTGCCTGATTGGCGTACTTAGCGGTTACTTCTGTTATACTACTGGACCATTGAAATGTGCTACTATAAAGCTCAAACTTTTGGTCCTGTAATTTATTTTTATTTGGTTGTTCACATGAACCATTCGATGTCTATGGCATGGTGCATGGAAGTCCTCCGATAAGTTTATATGCTAGTTCCGTCTGCACCTGTAACCCTGAATGTTGTGCTTAAAATGGTATTTTTTGTCTTGTAAACATTTGCTTACAGTATTTTGAGAACAAATTTAATGTCTCTGTCTTTAGAGCTTTCCAAAGCCAACAAACAATGGCACATTTTTTAATCCTGACATCTGTCCTTGTTGCCTAATGGGAGTAGCATCAAATGTGATAACAAATATTTTCTTAACATCATAGGTACTACTCCCTCCGTCCGAAAAAGGTTGTCCCTCAAATGGATGTATCTAGCATCAAGTTAGTCCTAGATACATCAATTTGAGGGACAAGTTTTTTCAGACGGAGGGAGTAGTTGTGTTGCCTTTTTTGTTCCCTATTTTAGAGCTGATCAGTGCCTCTGTCAGGAAAATTGGCCAGCGAATTTTGTCTCTAGTTTCAAATTTCTGAGCTCTACATGTACTGGTGTTGGTATCTTTATGTCAGGGTTTAGGATGTTGATAGTAGACATATAAATACGGACAGTTTTTTTGTAATTCCTAATTTGTTATACTTTTTATGCCCAAATCTATGGTAGTAAATAACATCTGTGTAATTGGCGTAGGAATTTCCAAAGGTTTGAACTTTTTTGTTTTAAACAACATAATTTGCTGGTCCATGGGTCAAAACTGAAGCTAAAAAATAGGCCTTTTATCTTTTCATAAGAAATCTGTAACTTGGCATCAATGATGGAAAGATCAATTGTTTTGAAATTAATTGTCTGTCTTGTTGCTTTCTATCCTAGCACAGGATCACATGGAGCAGTATTGTTCTGAAATTAATTTTCTGCCTTGTTAATTTCTTTCCTAGCAAAGGGTCACATGGAGCAGACTGACAGTATTGCAGTACTGTCTGGATATAATGACCTGTTTGCTTGAAATCTTTCCTTTTCTGCTTATGTAACTTTTGGGTGTGCTATTAATGCTAATTGTATTGCAGCAAGCTGCGGAGTGCCTACATGTAATAGAACAGTCACCAGGGTCGTCGGTGATGGAAGCTATCCAACCATGTCTAACAGCAGTTGTCAGAAAAGAATTGCTGAAACATCAGGATCAAGATGTTAAAGTTCTCTTGGCAACCTGCTTCTGTGAAATTACAAGAATAACTGCACCTGAAGCTCCATATAGTGATGATGTTTTAAGGGTAACCCTGTGCTCACAAAAAGTGCTGAATCAAATTACTTTGACTGAGCTTACAATGTTTGTTCAGTATTTGAGTATTCTTTTTTCTTTCTTGCAGACCATATTTCGTCTGATTGTTGGTACATTTGGTGGACTCGCTGATGTTAATAGCCATTACTTTAGCAGGAGAGTTGCTATTCTGGAAACAGTTGCAAGATACCGGGCATGTGTTGTGATGTTGGACCTTGAATGCAATGATCTCATCACAGACATGTTCCAAACTTTTTTAGAAATCGTCAGGTAATTCTGCTACGCCATCTAAGCTAGGTCTGGTAAATACCTTGTGTTATGTAATGCCACCGTAGATGGACTAGTTTCCAGTCTATGCATGAGCATGTAAGAAGTAACCACTATGATTTTTGGTTCACTGTTTCACACTGTTAGGTTCACATGGAAGAACACTACAATGAATTTAGTTCTGTCCTTTCTGGATCATGACTTTTGCTATTTTGCAAATTGATTGTTTTAATTTCTGTTAAGGTTATTTGTGATGGTTTATAATGGTACATTTGTTTGTAGGCTGAGAGACACTTGCACACTTTTCACTGTGTGATTTGTGTGGAGGACCTCTATGTACTTCTAAATCAGAAGGACCAAGATTAATAATATTTTGAGGATATAAATTGTATGGACTTATTTGAAAGTTTACATTGCATGAATACACTAGCTTGTGGGCTGAAATACATTACTCCCTCCGATCCATATTACTTGTCGCTCAGTCGGATGTATCTAGACGCATTTCAGTGCTAGATACATCCGTTTGAGTGACAAGTAATATGAATCGCAGGGAGTACACCATTTTCATTGTGTGATTTGTGTGGAGGTCCTCTTTGTAATATTAATGATGATGAACCAAGACTAATGATAACTCAAGGACAATAAATTTTATAAATGACTTGTCAGAAAATTTGATTGTATGGAGTCTTGCCTTGAATTGCGTGATAGACTTCTGGTATAAAATAATAGCAGCATGAATGTTTGTAAGTCATTACACAGCTGTTCAGACCTCAGTGTTTTAAAGAGCGCTAGTAAGAGTGGTCGCTCACCTTATGCTCTCAGGCATGTTAACAGCCTTGATATAGCACTAATATGTTGGATGGTTCCCATGATATGTGGACTAGATGGGGCAATGGGCTCCCTTGACATCTTTAGAAATTCAGTGGGCCCATATGCGGCAAAATTGGCCTTAATTTACAAAGCAGCATTCATTTCATTCTATGCAAGGTGCTAGATACCTGGGACATGTTCTTTTATCACCCTAAAACAGAACATTTATTTCCTGGTTGACTATTATTGCTGCCATTTGACGTATCATATTGGTTTTTGATGGAGTGTACATATTATACATATTACAACATAATTATATTAATATGAGTGATAGTGTGTACGACAACAACAACAAAGCCTTTAGTCCCAAACAAGTTGGGGTAGGCTAGAGGTGACATGCATAAGATCTCGCAACCCCGGGTGGTAGTGTGTACATGCTACAATTTAATTATACTAGTATGGGTAGTATTATTCTTGCTACATATATTGGGCGATCAGAACAAGTTAAGTGTGCTATGGTCCTTTTTGTTTACCCATTGTGTTTTGACTGTTGAAACTTGTTTGATGCAGTGAAAATCATGAAACAAATGTTGTGAAATCAATGCAGACAATTATGGCCCTTATTATAGAAGAGAGCGAGGTTATACATCAAAGCCTTCTACATGTACTGTTATCAGCTTTAGGCCGTAAAAAAACTGTGAGTGCATTTAAGTTCTATGGCATTTTTGGCTATTTAGTAGATTATTATTTGCGCCCTTCTGTAAACTATTAGTTTTGCGACTCTTGTTTCCTAGGGTATTTCTTTATCTGCACGTAAGCTGGCTCGGGGTGTTATAGAGCAATCTGCAGGAAAACTCGAACCATACATAAAGAAGTTTCTTACATCATCCTTGGCTGGGGCCAACAGTTCTGCAAATGGCCACATTGATCACCACGAGGTCATATTTGATGTGTATCAGTGTGCTCCAAGGGTTCTTAAAGTGGTGGTGCCTTATATAACTGGGGAACTACTGGTATGATATACTTCCGATTATCAATTTGACCCTGAACTACCTATATGCAGAGTGACTCTGCATTATAAAATACTCCCTCCAATCTAAATTAGTTGTCGCTCAAACGGATGTATCTAGCATTGAAATATGTCTAGATACATCCATTTCAGCGACAACTAATATGGATTGGAGGGAGTAATAACTTTGGAACAGAAAGTATATTTTTCTATAAAATCAAATAAAAACGAAAGTTTCATGCATCTTGTGACTAATTTTCTTAGTTTGTTCTGTCTTGCTAATTCATGTTTATTTTTCTCTTTTCTATAGGCAGATGAAGTAGAAATGCGGTCTAAATCAGTTGAGTTGCTGGGGGAACTTTTTTCTTTACCTGGAGTCCCTGTATTGGAATCTTTTAAGTCTCTTTTCATTGAGTTCCTGAAGAGATTGACTGACAGAGTGGTAGAAATACGTCTTTCTGTGATTGAGCATTTAAAGAAATGTCTAATCTCAAACCATTCCCGTCCTGAAGCTCCTGAGGTTATCAGTAAGTAGCTATGTCCCCCTAATAACAGTTCATATCATTTGAGGGAGCATCTCATTGTTCTTTCTTTGATGGTCGGCTCCGTGCAGAGGCACTTTGTGACAGACTGTTGGATTACGAAGAAAATGTACGAAAACAAGTTGTGGCTGCTGTTTGTGATGTAGCTTGCCATGAATTTGGTGCTGTGCCAATTGAAACTATCAAACTAGTAGCCGAGCGTGTCCGTGATAAATCGGTTAGCTTTTCGTTGCCCTTTTCATTGTCTTCCATTTTTTCCACATGTTTTACTCTGTATAATTTACTGAAATGTATGGTGTATTTTTTTTGAAATCCAGCTTCCAGTGAAGTGCTACACCATGGAGCGATTGGCTGATATCTACAAGCTGTATTGCCTGAAGGGTTCTGATAGCTCGACTAATTCTGATAATTTTGAGTGGATACCTGGAAAAATATTGAGATGCATTTATGACAAAGATTTTAGGTAATGTCACTAAACTAAATATTTTTGAGGCTTGTTGTTAATGTTTCATGAACATGCAACAGAAAGATATATTTTATTCAACTAATGACTAGATGTAGCAGTTCTACTGGTTTTATACTCCCTCACTGACTTACAGTGTATGTTTGGCATGTCTGGGATGTCCCGCTAATCCTTTCCTGATACACTCTAGATATTACTTGTGCAATATTTTCTGTCTCTTGTAGTTTTTTACTTCTCTTGAGATCTGGTTGGGTATTGGGTATTTTGTTCTTTGCGGTTGACATGAGATAAGCGTTGGATACAAATGCTTATGAGAGTATTTTGAGAACATACAAAATCACGAGGAAAATTTCTGTTGATGTATGTGTTTGCATCCTGGCTAGCGTCGACATCTAGCATCCCTCATGGAAATCAGTTCCTTTTTTTGTTCATGCAAACTATTGTATTAGGCTATTGTGCGTTATTGCACTCTGTGATCGGTGATGTTCTAGTGTGAGCCTAAGATAATGTCACCTTGTTGTTTTGTTTATTTGGTGCAGGCCTGAGTCAATTGAATCAGTCCTATGTGGTTCATTATTTCCACCAGAGTTTCCGACAAAGGAAAGAGTGAAACATTGGGTAATTGCTGCCACACATTTTGATAAAGTTGAGATGAAAGCTCTTGAACAGATTCTTCTGCAGAAGCAAAGGTTTGACCATGTATCCATAAATCATTTTTTGATAATTGCTCTCCCTTATCTTTTCTTTCCTTTTTTGAATGTTCTGATTTGTTGCATTTTGATCAACTTCAGACTACAACAAGAAATGTTGAAGTACATGTCCCTTCAACAGATAAGCCAGGTTTGTGATTCTTGAGATTGGAAAGCACCAGAGAGCTACTATTTGGTAAATACTTGCCTTATTTATTCTTCTTGTATTGCAGGAAGATGCAGCTGATGTGCAAAAAAGAATCTTGGGATGTTTCCGGAGCATGTCCCGTTTGTTCAGTGATGCGGTAAAGGCTGAGGAGTACTTGAACATGCTTCATCAGCTGAAAGATGAAAATATCTGGAAAATGTTCACAAGTTTGCTTGATTGCGCAACAACATTCAATAATGCTTGGTCTATTCGGGTACCTACTATATACCTAGTCATTTTCATTCTAGGTTGACCAGTAATTATATTCACTACCAAGTAGACAAAATCGCTTATTGGAACTAGGTCTTATTGATTTGTTTTCTGAAAATCCTATAAAACAATTTGAATTTTTATTTGTAATCTGCAGGTTGATTTGCTCAAGTCACTTGGTGAAAAACATGAACTGTATGATTTTGTCAGCACACTATCAATGCGATGTTCGTATCTACTTGTGAATAAGGAATATGTCAAAGAGATCCTGTCTGCAGCTTCTGAGCAAAAATCTATTGGGAATACAAAACTCATCTCATCATGCATGGATCTTCTGACGGTATACTTTGCTGAAGAACTAATTCTGTTATTGATGCAACATTTTGATCGTCTTCTTTCTGCCATCATGGAAGTAAAAAGACTTCATGAATAGTTGCTTGGATGGACTTACTATTATATTGCTACTCAAGCATGAACTATTGTTGATTTTAGAGAAGAGGAGTAAACAATTTTTCCTTTGAGCAGATTTTCTCGAGTCGTAAAGTTGTGAGGCCAATTCGGTAGTAATCTGATGGGTTTTACTCTTTTAGTTAAAGGTACCCGCAGGACGGCTATGTAAATTGCTGGGTACCTGCTAGCCTAAAAGTAGGATGATGGACTAGGCATGTAATGTTACATCCAAGTGGTTAGAATTGTCTTTTATCTTCTGTTGTTCCAAACATGTTGTGGCATTCTATCAAATGCCAAGGGGTGCAACATGCTTCATGATGCAAAGGATCTTGGGCAGATGGATATGTCATGAAATTTGCACTGATGAAATTTCCATACTAGATATAACCAACTGCCCATCCTACCTCATCTCTTCATATATTTGCAACCCTTTGTGCATGCATTTTGTGCCCTGAGACTCTTAAAGACGATCCTCACCCCATGCCATTTACTAATTGCAGGCAATATCTAGTTTCTTCCCTTCACTTTTATCTGGATTCGAAGAAGATATCATTGAACTTCTGAAGGAGGATAATGAAGTTCTTAAAGAGGGTATTGCTCATGTTTTGTCCAAAGCTGGTGGTAACATTCGTGAACAACTGGCCTCATCAAGGTGTAGCTGCTTGAAAGTTCTCCATTTGTGCACTACTTTACACTTTTTTGGAACAGTTATGGAGCTACTTACCATGATTATGGAACTAAGTTGTATACCTTCCATTTTCAGCTCTGTTGCTCTTCTGTTAGAGCGGCTATGTTTAGAGGGCACAAGGAAGCAGGCTAAATACTCTGTTCATGCTTTAGCCGCTATAACTAAAGATGATGGTCTGATGGCACTATCTGTTCTTTACAAGGTCTGAATTCGCCCCTGCTATTCCCTTTTTTGTACATTTTTGAGATTTATGATGTATTGTGCCTAGCATTTGTAACTATGCAGAGGCTTGTGGATTTGTTGGAGGAGAAGAAAGTTCATTTACCTTCTATCTTGCAATCTTTGGGGTGTATAGCTCTGATAGCGATGCCAATTTTCGAAACAAGGGGGGAAGAGATAATAAGTTTCATAACCAAAAAGATTCTTGACTGCAGTGATGTAAGGCTTGTTATCTTTAAATTTCTGTCTTTCCTTTTTACAAAATTTCATTGCAACGTTTAAGTGTCACCAGGATATGGCTAAAGTTTCCGCTGACAAATCTGAATGGGGTGATAGTTCACATAGTTGTTTGCTCAAGGTGAGTGAGATCATGCTTTTCATGGCCTGCTTTACTCTAATTGTCGATGGTTTTTTTACTTGTTATTCTCTTCTGATATTTTTCTCTGTAGATTTATGGCATTAAAACTTTGGTGAAGAGCTGTCTACCTTGCAAAGATGCTCAAGTGCATCCTGGAATAGAAAAATTAATGGACATCCTTAAGAGCATTCTTACATATGGTGATATTTCCCCAAACATGATATCAAGGTACAATGAATGACTTGTCCTTCTATTTTAGTGCATACATTCTGTGCTATATTTGGGTTATTTCTTATTACTCCATTACTTGCAGTGCTAGTGATAAGGCCCATTTGAGGCTGGCTGCAGCGAAAGCTGTTCTCCGCTTATCAAGACAGTGGGACCATAAAGTGCCTGTTGATGTGTTTTATTTGACTCTAAGGATTTCACAGGTATGTTTTGGGAATATATAGCTTAGCTGATTTCTTCATTTTTACTTTCATTTGGTTTGCTTGTATGCAGCATCCGCTTGGGAGATTTATAGTTTCGTTCATTTGTAGGATGATTTCCCTCAAATGAGGAAGTTGTTTCTCAGTAAAGTACATCAATACATCAAGGAGAGGGCTTTGGACGCAAAATATGCCTGCGCCTTCTTGATAGGCATAGACGATTATCATACACCACAGTACGAAGAGGTTCATACTCGAAACACAGTGATCAATTGAGTTCACCATCCACTGATTCTAATGTGTATATCTTTTCATTTCACAGTTCCAACACAACCTGATCGAAGTGTCACAAATATGCCAACAAGTTAAGATGCGTCAACTATCTGTCCAAGCGGATGTGAATTTGCTCACAGCTTACCCAGAATATATTATTCCATATCTGGTTCATGTCCTTGCTCATGATCCTTCATGCCCTAACATTGAGGAATATGAGGATGTCAAAGCTTTTGCTCCAATTTACTGGTATTTTATAATAACTCTTACAGTATTATTGTACTACTACTTGTTATCGTGAGTTTCCATAATACATATTTTCATTGCTTGATGCATTTAATACATATTTTCATTGCTTGATGCATTTGGTCAATTTACTGATACATGATAATTGTTCATTAAGTTCCTAAGATATCATTTTCTTGCACTTCCTATAATTGTAATATCATTTGGCTGCTTGATCGTCGCACACCCTGACTATTTTGTGCACACAAAATGTAATGTTTCACTAAAAAATTGAACACTCTAACTACATCCTGGAGAATTTGATAGTCAACCGTAAAATTTGATAGTCATGCGTGGTAATAAAAATTATTGTGGTTTGATTCTAACAGTGTCCCTATGGCTATTATGTAATGCCTCCTGGCAGTCTAGTTTTTTTCTGTATGCACACTGTTTGATACAAAATAATTAAAAAGAATGGTCTTTTTTTTTTGCCTTTTCTTGTTAAAATTACTCTTGCATATGCATATTTATGAAAGAGCTCCTTCCAGGCCATTGCATCTACTTCTTTCAACCCTCCTGGGAGAAGAAGGTTTGCAGTATAGTGTACCTGGTATGAAAAAGGAGAGCTTCATGACAACATTATCTATATTCAGAAGCATCAAATGTTCAAAAGACGTGGTCGATGCAAATAAGACCAAGGTAAGCAAGTGTTCATCACATTTGTTGTCATGTACTGTAACCCGTTTGCTTGCTATAGGTGTTGACTAAAATCGAGATATGTTGTTTGCAGACTGTACATGCTATATGTGATCTTGGTATTCTTATTGCAAAGAGGTTATGTCCGGACCAGATAAATGTATCAGAAAATCAGACGGTTCCATTGCCTGCACAACTTTATGCAACAGTTCAGAATGACCAAAATGAAAACCCTGTGGTATGTGTTCTAACAAATCATTAAGCATGCTGTTTGTTAAGAATTGTCAATGGTTACCAGGACATAAACTCGTCGATGGTTACCAAGATAGCAAGTTTCTTGGCTTCTGAATATAGGCTTCCGATTGTAATACTTGATATGTTACTTTGTAGGAGAATGATGAACAGAAGTGGTTGGGATGTGAGACTGTACTGTCCCATTTCGAGGCTCTTATGACAGCAAATGTTGCTGAGGTACACAACACACGTCTATGTCTATATTAGGATTCCACTTCAATTGTCTGCTGGACCTTGACTCCTCTTTGGTCTTATGTCCTTCACAACACACGTCTATGTCTGTATTAGGATTCCACTTCAATTATCTGCTGGACCTTGACTCCTCTTTGGTCTTATGTCCTTCAGGTTCAATCTCCCGAAGATAAGATGCTCATAGATGAGACTGATGAATTTGGTAATGAGATCCCTCTAGGGAAAATTGTCCAAATTCTTAAATCCCGAGGAGCAAAAAAGACAGGGGGGAAACAGAAGGCAGCATCTGTTCCAGTAAATACTGGAAAAGATGATGATGTCTTGGGTTTGTTAAGAGAAATAAACTTAGATAACCAGGACAATTTGGGGGAGTCGGTGAAGAGCAAACCAAAGAAGCCGCAGATGGATATGAAAGAGAGCAACGAGAAGCCAGTAGATTTTTCGGCACCAAAACGCAAAAGATCAGTTTCTAAGAGTAGACCACATTCAGGAAAAGGCAGTAAAGACGGTGACGAGCTTTTAGTGCATTCTGCTAGCAAAGGAAAACCCAGTGATTCCTTAGAAAACAAGTTGAAGGAGAAAAGAAGAGCTGACTCAAATGATAAAGACTTGGTAGCATCACCTACCAGTACCAAAACCCCTGTATCCAAAGGGAAAAAGGATGCTAAGTCCCATACTGAAGTCTCGCGTAGCAGTGCAAAGGTAATTTCTTTCTGTTCTATGGTATGTAATATGTATTTGCGGGACCTATTGATAAACTTCTGGTTCTAAATTGCCAATTCCTATTGAATTTTCCCCAGAAGTATGCTGATGAGGACAATACTATGAGAGCTGCTGAACTGGCTAGTCTAAATGGGTCCTTCAAAAGACAGAAGCCAAGACTGGTTTCTGGTTTAGCGAAGGTAATCTCCAAGGTTTATGCAGGAATTGTTGAATAAAGTCACTAGAAGGAAGTATGCATATGCTAGCGGTAGTCGAGTTTGTGCAAGTGCAAGTATGAGTATCCTTCTAGTGTGTGTACTAAGAATTAATTAATGCCTGCAGTGTTCAACGCATGACTCAAGCAGTAAAGACTTGGTAGGACGTAGAATAAAAGTTTGGTGGCCTTTGGATAAGGAGTAAGTTTCCTATTTTATGTAATTCTGAACATTTTTTATAATCTAATCTTTGAAGGTGGGCTTCAAATTTAAGTTATTTTTGTCATCAGATTTTATCCAGGTGTCGTGAAATCTTATGATTCAGCAAAGACGCTACACACAGTAAGTTTCCATTAGACGGTTTATTTTTTATTTTAGATGAAAAAATGGTGTATTAATTAGTATCTCTATCAGTATGGTGTATCTGTTTGATCCATTTTTCCTGTTATGAGTACCATCATGAAAAACAAAAAAGGTTTGCATTTTATCATGCAGGCTATTCTATGAAATTAGCTGAGTACTTATAATTCGAAGATTTCCCCCTCTCTGCTTAGCCTTGTTTATAGACATATTGATACATACTGTTCAACTCTCACAAGGCCATGACAGCAACCTTTTAGTTCTTCTGCATATCCTACTCAATATCACAGCATGCAATAGTTGTATAGTTGATTGTGCTTGTAAGATATTGTGACTGCTGGGTATATAAATATGAATATGCTTCTCTGTGTAGGTCTTATATGATGACGGAGATATGGAGCAGCTTAACATGGCTAAAGAAAAGTGGAAAATGATTGAAAGTAATGGTTCACCAATGAAGGTAGAGTATTGTCGATTCTTTCCTAGAAACTGTCTCTGTAGCCCTAAAGATAATGTTCAACTCATTATAGTTCTACTGATTGTTTTGCAGCAGCAAAAGAAGGATCATGCAGGTTCAAATCAAGGACGGTAAGCCAGAATTTCTTCTTTAGGAATTAAGAAATGACTTTGTCTGCCTATATTTTGCTTGTTAGCCCCTAACGAAGTATCGATTATCAATGTGAAATGTTAGATGTAAAGCTTTCTAGCCAGATTAAATGTTATGAACTTATTGCACATCTCATCAAATTGATGCTTTGCAAGATGAAGTAATTTACTTTGCTTACCACCTGATCCAATGTAACACCTTACAGAGCACAAGAGACGAAATCTACCAGCAGCACGAAAGTTCCAGCTAACCAACATAAGTCAATAAAGACGTAAGTCCATATCTAACTCTCAGACTGAAGGATCGTGCTGCAATTTTTCTCATCGATCCACCACCTGAACCAATGTAACACCTTACAGAGCACAGGAGACGAAATCTACCAGCAGCACGAAAGTTCCAGCTAACCAACATAAGTCAGTAAAGACGTAAGTCCATAGCTGACTCCCAGACTTAAGGATCATGCTGCAATTTTTCTCACCTGGTCCAATGTAACACCTTACAGAGCACAGGAGATGAAATCTACCAGCAGCACGAAAGTTCCAGCTAACCAACATAAGTCAATAAAGACGTAAGTTCATATCTAACTCTCAGACTTAAGGATCATGCTGCAATTTTTCTCATCATTCCATCTTCTTTAGGCCCTCACCTCTAAAGAGGAAAGGAAAACCAAAAGCGCCGCCGGAAAACAAGCGTAGAAAGACATCAGGAGGTAGCAAGTCCATCGAAGCTACCAGCGAAGCTGGCGTTAATGATTCAGATTCAGCCAGTTCTCTCGCTCATTCAGATTCTGACAAAGATGTAAAATCAGGTATGACCGTTTTATGTGCTTGTTTACATTTATGAAAATATGCATGCCGTTTCATCATCGTAGTTGAGCTTAGCTTGTGACTGTTTTATTACCAAAGATGGCGAGAAGGATAAAGAGGTAGCAGTTGGCTCAGCTGGGAAAGAAAAAACAGGAAAAACAGAGAAAGAGTCTGCAGAAGATATGGAGCTGGAAGAGAAAAAACCTGACGGCGACAGTTTGAGCTGCAAGGAGGAATCTGACGATGAAACTCTTGTAAGCGCGACCCTCTTCAACCCCGGACTGGACCCCTGATATATTTTCAATTTTCTGATTCTCTTCTGTTGATTTCTGTTGAATCTGCAGAGTGTCTGGAAAAAGCGCGCGTCGCAAGCAACATAGGCTTCGCATTATCCCAGTTGACATGTCGATCCTAGGATGCAGATATCAGAGGCAGTCGTCTGTGGAATGTGGATATCTCATTAATTTGACCCTTGCAGCTGACAGTTGTGATGTAGAAAAATGTTCTTTGCAATAGCAACAGGTTAGTATAGAAGAGCCAGCTGGATAGGAAGGATTTGCTTTGTAATGTTATTTAGGTGCTAGAACTTGTTGCCGACTTCGCCATGGCATTGTTCGATGGGCGAATGAATCCTCGAGGGTCAGATGTTGTGTAACATATCTTGTTTACCATTCTTTTGCAGGAGATAGCAACCGTGTCTTTAAAACTCATGTAGAAATGTTGTACAACAATAAATCAGTGTCTTGGGATTGTTTTGCTACCAGTGTGGTGGTCCTCTCTTTGGGCCCCTATTTGAAGAAACAGATTTTGAATATGTAGCGAGATGCACTAGTTGTTTGGATTCGGACTTTATACTGTGCTAAAGAGATCATGCTGTAATTCTGTTTGCTGAACCTGTAGGTAGTATTAAACGAGAATGCTTGATTAAGTTTCCAACAAATTTCCATTTTTATAAGAAAAATACTGCACCAGTAGTCACTAATTTTCTATAACTACTACAGATGAGGAGATGTGAGTTTCATCTTCTCACATGGTCCACCTGACATCTTGTTATGGATGTGCCTAAAGAGAGCACATCCACCCCAACCTGCGCGGTTTGCACATCCAGCAACCTCAACTGGAAAACTCATTTGGTCCGTAGGAAGAAATGTTGCAGGTTGCACATTTTTATCCTGTTATTATGTATGTAGGCCAAGTTCATTTGGTCCACAGAAAGAATGTAGCAGGTTGCACATTTTGGGCTACTCCCCTTTTCCATTACTTTGGCATAACGGAAATACAGAGTTCGATAGAGATTACAGGAGGTGGGAAGGGGGATAAAGCAAGTTCAAAGCATTATCAGGAAACCCACTACACACTGCACGCAATGGCACATGCGCAAAACTGGAGGGAGACCAAGCGAACTGGCCATGTTCATGGCAACACATGCCGGAAAGTCAGGTTGATCCTCGTCGAGGCCGCCCTCGCACGCTTGGGCACCGCGTGCTGCCAGTCCCGCTGGGTGTAGCCCCTCATCACGAGCAACGAGCCATGCTTCAGGAGGAACGAATGCTGCTGAGGGGCGCTGACCTTGAGCCGCTTCCGAGCCGTTTCCCCAGATTCACCAGCAGCTGGTGGATGAAGATCAGCATGAGCCAGTTTTAGTCCGGGCTACAAAGCCTATAGCTCTCCTCTAGTTTTTTTAGGGGATATAGCTCTCATCTAGTAGCAAGATGTGGCAAGTACCTTGTGATTGTGTGTTGGCAGGCTTCTTCCTCAGCAAGAACTCACGTTCGCACCCGAATGTGACGGACGCGATCTCCGGGGTAGGCCCGTAGAGGGGTTCGTCACCGGCGTGCCACGACACATAGTCTGAACATCCCTTGTATCTGTTCAGCAGCAGGCTGTTAAAGTGGCTTCCTGGGAGGGCTTCATGGACCTAACCAATGTGTATGAGTCAGAAGACTGCTGTGAAGGCTGGACGCTGAGAATACTCTCCGGATGTTACCTTTTAAATAAGAACAATTCCAACTGGTTTCTGCTGATTACAGGGTAGCAATGCAAGAAGTCACCTTGGCCCAGCTCTTACCTCTTTCAAGATATCCTTGAGCACTGGGAAATCATCCCAAGAATGCGCATGAGGCTGATGGCCGCTGTACCTCAAATCTGTTAGCCCTTTATCTGCCACATAGCAGGTATCTCTGGGCTGTAGAATAGCAAAAAGGATCAGATACTTAGATTAGAAGCCTCACGAGGGTTATATGACCAGTGCGCTTCTTGTCAGTTGTCACTAGAGCGAATTCCGTTATTGAACCAATGGTGCTAGACGACTAGTAACGGTAGGAGGAGGACATCAGACACTTTGTTAAGGTGGCACCAAGACAAGACACCATCACCATGGCACCATCAATGGTTAACTGACATTGTATACATCGTAGCTATGTTGCACTCCAGCGAGCAAATTAGATGAGCATCCAGCAATTATCTTCGGCTATCAAAACTTCGATATGGCAGAAAGAGTTTGACAAAATGCATTACTAGCATGAGGCCAGCTCCTCATACTTATCCTGACTGTTCTTTTGTATCCCAAATTGTCCGTAGTCTAATTTTCGTTTCAGTGTCAATCAAGCTTACAAGAATGACCATATGTCTACAGCCAGGGACAGAGTGATGCCCATTCTCTAAATGGTTTGGAAGTACCAAACCACAAGGCACAATCAAACAACATGCCAAATATGCTAATCGTCCTACATAATTTAGCATCGGTACGCTTTACATACTGTTGTACTGAGGTGCTCCAGAAAGAAAAACAATAATTTGTTGCACTGCTTGCCCCAAACAAGACACATTCACCACCCAAGGCATGGATAAGTGCAGACCCATACTGATGATCCAACCTACCATTTCAAAATCCAGTTAATATTTCTTCAAACTTAGATTTGTTTTTCACCTCCCCAAAATAACAGCACGGCCACCAAATTTGGAGAGAAGGGTTAGGAACCAATGTTAAACGCAGGGGACCTAACTGTGACTGAACGAGGCGCAAGAAATGGGGGTAATAAGGGGGGCATGAGAGGGCGCGACCTGGACGACGGAGCGGCCGAAGACGCGGATGGTGGGGCGCGTCCACGGGATGCGCTTGTCGAGGTGTTCGAACAGCTCCCACGCCCTCTCCCGCGCCATGAACCGCGGGATGTGCACCACCTCGCTCCCGCCGCCCAGATCCGTCACCTCTCGCCGCGGCTCCGGCTTCCTCCCTTCTCCTTCTTCTATCTTCCCCTCGCCGGGGCTGGGGCTGGGGCTGGGGCCGGGGTTCGGGCTGGGCTGGCCGAGCCGGAGCCGCGAGGCCATTGGCGATGCGGCGGGAAACGAAGCGGCGGTGGACGGAGGGTCGAAGACGGGTGGCTGGAAGAGGCGGCTAGGAGTTAGGTCCCCTGCGTTTCAGGAGTACGTAAACGTATATGGACACGGAATTCTCAACGAGAAGAGCGTAGTATGGTCACGGAATGCAGCTCCAATAATCCAATTGTTTCAAGAAATGAAAACAACACGTTGCTTATAAGAAGCTAGAAAAATTACATACTCCCTATACTTCAGTAGAAATCTCCTGTTTAGAGATGCCATCAAAAAGAAAATTAAGAGTTTCGTCATTGCAATCTCTTGGTGGCACCAAAACATGTGAAGTACATAATCAAGTTATAATAACAAACTAATTTAAATAACCAAGAATTTCGCAATTCGTTCGCAAGAAGTTAACAAATCACGACCAAACTATGTAATAGCTAATTAACACAACATGCTACCAGCCTACCACCCAGAGGGCACAACAAATCAAACAAGTTAAGCAAATGATTCTAGACTGTCCACGACCTTGGAAAGAGACTAACAGCTTGCACACGCACAATGCATGCAGCGCAACGAGCATCTCATGCAAAGACCAGCACGGCGGCACCCACTCCCAGAGCGGTGCCAACGGCGTGATAGTCACCGAAGGGCGCGCGCATGGGCGCGGCGCCACTGGTCTTCCCGTCGCCGGCGTTCCCGCGTGGCGGCATGCGCGTGGAACCTGATCCGGACCCCGGCGTGGAGTTGAAGGACCCGCCGGGAGACATGGCGGGGGCCTCCGTCGGGGAGGCGCCGCCGCTGTCCCTCTGCGACATGACGCGCACGGTGAACCTCTGGCCGGCGCCGCAGTGGCCCGGCGCGCCGCTGATGAAGTAGAGGAAGCCGCTCCGCTCGAGCCGGAACCTCGCCTCGCCGCCCTCGAGGCGGAACACCGGCCTGTCCGCGCCGCAGCGCTTGTAGTCGTCGCGCGTCACCACCAGCACCGAGTCGTTCTTCTCGTACCTGAAATCTGCGAGCCAACGACACGTACGAACGAACGTTAGCCCAACCACATGTAAAAATGTAAGCGCGGCCGCCGCATGTACGTGCTTGGTCGATGCTTACGGAGGAAATCGCCGACGTGGAAGCGGTTCTTGGTGGCCCAGTGGTTGTAGGCCTCCTCGCCGGGCGCCGGCTGCCTCCAGCCCCTCTCTTCGCCGCCGACGGTGAACACACGCGGCGACGACGACGACGACGCGGTCACGGCGCCGGCGAGAAGGACGCAGGCAACGGCGGCCGAGAGCAGGACGCCGGCCATGGCTTGCTTGCTCTGTCGAGCGTCGCTGGATGCAGTACCGCCTCTTCTCTCTGGTAGTGTTGTGCAGCGGGCGGGCGATTCGCTGTGATTGGGTTGGCGTCTCTCGTGAGCTCTGTCAGGCCGGGGAGGAGCTTATATAGGGTCGGAGCCAGACGAGGAAGTGGCGCCGGTGGAGTGCATGGGTGGGGCGGGGGACGGCGGTTTCCCGAAGAGACGTGGCCGGTACGGGGGCCGTTGATGGTGGTGGAGGTGAGGATTTGGACGGTGTGGGATTGGCCGAGAGCGTGCGTGCATGCATGACTTGGTCAGATTGGTCTGGGCGCGCGGCGGTTCGGTCCAAGGGGTGAGGGACGTGGGAGGGAGGGAGGAGCGTTGAGGGGTTTGACTGTTGGAAGTTTGCAGGAATGGCGTTGAACGATGAAACCCGGTCGGTGCAAGGGCCGTCAGTTGAGTACTTCAGCTGGGCTTCAAAATTTTGCCGCGGGATTAATGAAACGGGAACTTCGAAGTTCCTTTGCCGGTCCAAAATAGGACTCGGAGCACGGATGGGCTGGAGAAGCGAGGTTGGCCAAATTATGGGTTGTGCCCCCTTTGCAAAAGGGTTCGTGAATCCCGCGCTCACTTGCTCTACAATTGTCGTTTCACCTCAAGGCTTTGGAACTTGGTTAAAGAGTGCCTCCTCCTCGATACCCCCCTTGGCATTTGGACAACTCTGTTGAGGATTGGTGGAGTAAGCGGCCGGTGATAGCTTGCCGAATAGAAAATCAACAGCCTCCCTCACGATGCTTGTCACTTGGGCAATTTGGAACGAGCGCAATGCTAAGGTCTTCCGTCACAAAAGCGCTCCTCCGATAATCTTGCTCAACCTCATCAAGGATGAGGGAAGGCTTTGGGTGACCGCGGGTGCCAAAAAGCTTGGTGGTTCTTATTTTGGAAGAGTAATCTTTTATGTCGTATTGGGGTCGGTTGTAACAAACTCTATCTCTTCTTATTTATTCGATGAAGCAAATCATATGTCTCCGTTAAAAAAAAACTAATGGTACAACTCAATTCTTTGATGAAGTAGCACACTGTCGCTTTCAGTTTGGGGTGAAATGGCTAACTATGACCGATCTTCAACCCCACATACAGTAGAGGGATCCCAGATGGCTACGGACGGAAACACTTTTGCACGTTACTTGAGAGAACATTGTCCAGTCAGGTATGACTAGACAATGGTCTCAGGTGAAATTGGCATTGATCCATAAAACAAAAGATGTTAGGCAAGCACATAGAAATCGTCTAAAGGGGAGTTCCATATGAATGTTTAACCTTGGTTTGATCCCATGATAAAAAGGGGTGATGTAACCCACCGCTCACATAAGAATACACTGAGTTAAGCACTACTATGGTTTGGATTCAACCGCGAAGAGGGTCTGAGCCATAACAGATTGATGTGATCGTAGTGGCAATTGGAATCAATCCGAATCAGTCAGTTATGGGACTTATCTTATATAACAACATATAGGCAAGAAGGATTACAAAAAGGTGAGGTCAAGGTGTATAATACGAGCTTCACAGCCAGCTTAACCCTAATTGCTTAAGGTTTACTAAAATTATGTTGGGTCTGCTACCAAGAAACATATTCCGGGCATTACTGAGTTGTCGCCTAGTTGGTCTAGTTTGGCAACACAGTTTTTGCAAAACTACAGTATTCTAAAACCTTGGTATTAAAAAACTACAATATTTTAGCATGTAGGTATAAGTTACTACAGTTTTGACATATTGCAGTTTTTGAAGTATTGAGAATACTTTGAGCTGTTTAGCTAGTGCTGTATATATCGACGTATATTCGCTAGCTAGGCTTTTTCCTTAGCTACCCAGCTGTTGCAAACTCAACGTCCATGTACAAAGGCCACCCACATGCACAAACTTTGAATGGCCATGCACAAAGGCCACTGCCAATCTGTCAACGACCATGCCCAAAGTCCGGCATGTAGCTTACCAAAGAGGAGGAGGCAGTCGAACTACCACAACACGACGTTATTGTCGAGGAGCATCCGGAGCTGTGGATGGAGCTAGGACCACACTGTCCGGAACACGCTTAAACTGGAACCGTGCGGCCAAGCTCGACGCCGTGCGGAGTTGCAGTGGATTCAACTGATGGTTCCTCGAAAGCATTTCTTCAACCATATGATGAGCATGACACGTGATACATCAAGTAAGGAAGGAGAAACTTTGAGAAAATTCACTTTGGCACATGAGAGCATATGCTCCTCCCATTGAAAAATATATTTTAAAATGTCAAAAAATTCCGAACACAAATTTGACGTGTACATCTCAACATTGTATGTGCGCATGGCTAGTTTCGTGAAAAAACGACATTTTATACACCTTGAGTAAAAAGACAAAAAAATGTCTCATGAAAAGCCTTTTTTAACACTAAATTTTATCTTTTTTACACGTGACACAAAAGTTATCGATTTTCCGCGAAAAGAGTTTGTGTGCACATAGCATGTCAAGATGTACGCGAGAATCATTTTGTCTGAATTTGAGCATATGCTCCCATGTGCCAAAACGCACTCTCGAAACTCTGTAGATACATCACCGTTTTTGTCATCACCGTTTCTTTGTCCGTCCACTATTACCCAGGGAGAGACTACCTATAGCAACAAGAGAGCAGCGGCGGCTTGTAAGCAAACGAGGAAGAAGATAGAGACGGGCCTGTTTTTCTCGTCTGCTCAGAGGTTTTAGTGTCTTTTTCTAGACAGAGGAAAAACTATGTTTTTGGGAATACTATAGTATTAATACTACAACTTTTTGTGTAAGCCAAACAACTCACAGTAATTAAAACCATGGTATTTGATTTTTTTACAATATTCTTCAAATACATAGAAAATACAGAGCTACCAAACAGGGCCTTAATGTTTCTAGGGCGTGGTTTGCCATGGCAAGAATTTCGTCCGGATAGCTAGTGCAATGGTGTTCATGTATTAGAAGTTACTAGTGGATTCCCCGCGCGTTGCAGTAGGAATTAGTAGCACAAATTATATAGATAATATGTTTAAGATCATATGAAATTGTTAAATAGAACTATCATCATTGTCAGTAAAAATGACTCCTAATTAGATAATGTTTTATCATGTTTTTTGAGAATAACACATATGTAGTATTTTATAGAACAGAAATTGTACAACATTTTCCAAAAGAATCATCCACAAGAAAATAGTATTGGGAAGATAATCAAAGCTATTGATTCCGTTTCAGTCACCTTCATTCGAGCTACAATGTTTTAATATACTATATCACTTTTTTGTTTCGCACGTCTCCCCTACTAATCTACAGATGAGAAATAACCAAAAGAAACTTTGTGTAACCAATATGATTGGAGCAAGAATGATATATCTTCAACAATATGCCATATATTAGTTGTTCATGGGAAAAGAAGCTAGCCTGGCATTTCAGCGACCAGTATACTTGTAAATGCCACAGGAACATAGGTATAAATTCAAATGTTGATCCCATCGCACTACAAAGTTTCATATAAAAAATCATCAAAAGACTGGGAGAAAGGCTCACTGTTCTATACTTAAACGGGTGTGAGACGAAACAATGTATTATATGAAGCGGTGGTTTGTTTTTCAATTGAATTACAATTTCTTTGATTCTGTAATATCAAAATTAGAACCTACAATAGAAAAACCCTACAGAGATATATACCTCCCAAGCA